CACACACACACACACACTCGCACACACACACACACTCCTGCTTTTTTAAGTATTTTTTCTCTCTAACCTATTCTCGTTTTTCATTTTTTAAAAATTGTAAACCAACCCAAATTCGCAAAACAAAATTATGGGGTCGTAGGGTTTTGCAAACCCTATAACCGCATATTTTATTTTTATTTTTTTCACTTTTTTTCTTACCAAAAAACAAAACCCAAAGATTGGGCCACAAGGTAGGCCTTGCTGGCCGCGGCCGCGGGTGTCACGTAGAAACACTTGCATCTGGACCGAAAGTTATGTCAAATAAAGCATTAATGACGGGCCGTTCTATTTGGGGGTGAGGTGAAGAGGGTAGGAAACGGCCGCCTGTGGATGAATGTGACCGCAATCTTCTCCAGACCTCAGTAGGAAAAGGGCTACAGTAACTGTAGCCACTGTAGTGTGAGGTGTGAGGGCATAGCAGCAAAATCTGTGAAGTTTGCTATCCCTATTTTGCTGAAATGCCACCCCGCCTGGTCCCCTAGCGGCAGCAAATCACAAAAGACACGAGGCGGGCTTTCCGGCAATAATTGCCAAAATGGTGCTTCATGTGGTCACACAGCGCCGTGCCAGCGCCAGCCCCAAATCCTTGAACATTTTTTATATATATTTTTTCCAACGTACTAGTTCGTTTCAAATTTCCTTTCACGAACTCTCCATCTGAAAAAAGAAAACAAACAATTGCTACCACCTCCAGAGGTGATAGCAAAATCATGCCAAATTTTAATGCCCTTCCACTGACATTTGATGCGTAACCCCGTTTGCCGCTCTTGCCACTCTTTCCCTGTCCCGTTTGTTTGCTGCTCTTGCCAAAATGCCCTCGTGCTACTGCCAGTGGCCCAACCATGCCCTTCCCCATGGCCCAATCATGCCAAAATGCCCTTCCCCGCGGCCGACCAGGCCACTGACATTTGATGCGTAACCCCGTTTGCTGCTCTTCCCACTCTTTCCCTGGCCCGTTTGTTTGCCGCTCTTGCCAAAATGCCCTCGTGCGAGTGCCAGTGGGCCAACCACTGATCAAATTTGAGCAATTTTGGCCCTAGTGTGGAAGATTAATGCATCTGACCCACTCTTTCCCTGCCCCGTTTGTTTGCCGCTCTTGCCAAAATGCCCTCGTGCTACTGCCAGTGGCCCAACCATTAATCAAATTTGAGCTATTTTGCCATAAAAGGCCCTAGTGTGGAAGATTAATGCATCTGAACCACTCTTTCCCTGCCCCGTTTGTTTGCCGCTCTTGCCAACATGCCCTGGTGCGACTGCCAGTGGCCCAACCATTAATCAAATTTGAGCTATTTCGCCATAAAGGCCCTAGTGTGAGTAGGCTGTCACATTATTAGCGCTTTCGGAAGATTAAT